AAAAAAAAAAAAAAAAAAAAAAGAAGAAGAAGAAAAAAGGAAAGACTGCATCATTTTCCAGCATGGCTTCCATCCTACTGTTCACCAGGGCTGCTCTGCTTTCTCTAACACCGCTAGAACAGCAAAGCCCATTAGCATCTCAGCCTCCTACCTTCTGCCTCCCAGACTGCTGTCAGCAATCCACACCTAGACAGCCGCCACAGATGGAGCAGTTTAGGAAACAGTGAAACCATTTCATGTTCCCATCCACGGGATTCTTATCAGTCTGGACATGGGGCTGAACAATTTTCTAGGCTCTTTGGTCTGTTGCTCAGACACCTGGCAGTCCCACCTCTGTGTCCTTTGCAATGTGAACCTCATTTCTGGCAACGTAGGATACACTCACTGTGGAAGGCCCATCACAAAATGTCAGCCAGGCCTCTGCCTGATATCTGCTGCTCAGCAACACGTTCTGCACACCTCTTTGGACACAAAGATAGCCTCTGACCAGAGGAAGTAGCCGTGTGATTTGCATGTGGTTCTTGTGAGCTGCTGGTGTGGGCACCTGATGATTTAGGTATCACTGTGCGTGAGCTAGTTGAACTAATCTCTTATTTATTTTCCACATGCGAATGGGTTTTGACTGGATTTGACTTCCTTGGTGCCTCTGAAATACTCTGAAGTTTAATTGATGGGAAATCTAGTAATGATAATGACTTTCCGATGCCAACTATCCTAGCATGGTGCTTCTTGATTAAAGCATTTCCGTTCCACCTCATTTTTTTAATTACAATTTTTATTATGAGATGATTAAAAATTCACACACAGTTGTTCAAATCAACGCAGAAAGACCCGGTGTAACCACCGGTACCAGTGCAATGGCCTTGGTGGTAAAACTGTGCAAAACCACATGTAATAATCACAACCAGGATTCCAACCGACACCACCAAGATACAGAGCACACCCATCATCCCAAGGGTGCTCCTTCATGCTGCCTTCTTGTAGCTCTGCCAACTTCTCTTCTCCTTGTCATAGAATGCTACCTCCACGATTTTATAATTTAGAGAATTTTATGTAAGTTGAATCATACAGTATGTGCCATCTTAAGACCACGTTTTTCTCTCAAAACGATTCCCTTAAGTTTCACCCAAGGTGTTATATGTATCATTTATTTCCTTTCATCGTGGAGTGGTACTGCACAAAATAGACAGTTTGTTTAGCCATTTACTCACTGAAGGACATCTCGGGTTTGGGGTTTTGTTAATAAAGCTGGTATAAACATTGGCATACAGGATTTGTGTCTTCAGCTCTCTGAGATGCATGTCCAAGAGTACACATTGGTTACAGGACAATTGCATATTGTTAAGAAGAAATTGCCAAGCTATGTTCCTGAGTGGTTGCGCTCATTTGCATGCACACTGGCAGTGTAGGAGTGAACCGGCTTCTCCCGGTCCTCACCAGCACTTGGTGCTCCCTGAATTCTTATGTTAGACATTTCACAGGGTTGTAGTGATGACTCACTTGTTTTCATTTGCATTTTCCCGAAAGTCCATCGTACGAAGCGTGTTCTCAGGCGCTCAGCTCTGTCTGTACATCCTCTTTGGGGAAACGTCTCTTAGTATCTTTTGCCTCCTAATTGAGCTGCTTAATTTTATTTTTCCTCTTAAAGAGCTGTGAAAATACTTTATATATTCTATGCACTGATTCGTTATCAAATACATAGTTTGCAAATATTTGTTACCCATCGGTGACTTGGCTTTTCATCCACTCACTAGGGTATTTTGCAGATCTGAAAGGTCTTGAAAGAAGTAAAAGTTGTCAACTTTTTGAGTTATGGATCATGTTTTTTTTTATATCAAATTAAGAACTGTTTGCCTTGCTATGGATCCCAAAGATAGTGTGTTAGTCCCCTTTCTGTTACTATCACAAAATTCTCAAGATAATCAATTTAAAAAGAGGTAAGTTTTGTTTAAGTTCCCAATTTGGAGGTCTTGGTACATGATTCATTGGTGATGTTGCTTGGATCCTGTGGTAGATCACATATGTGTTGGAGCAAAGCATTCACCTCACAGCCAGGATGTAAAAAAAAAAAAGAAGAAGAGGAAATAAAAGCATCTGGGATTCCAGGCCTTCCTCACGGACACACTTCCAAGGACCCAAAACCTTCCAGACCCTTCCTCTTAAAGTTTCCACCACCTTCCAATAGTCAAGCTGGGGGCCAAGGCCTGAACCCATAGGAAACTAGAGGATGCTCTGTGCCTACTCAAAAATATAGCAGATGGTCTCTCATATTTTTACAAGTTTGCATGATTTTACATTTAAGTCTGTAGTCCATTTTGATTTTTTTTGTGTAATGTATAAATTTAGGTGGAAGTTCTTTATTCCCCAGCCCCCTTTGTTTAAAAAGTCTGTCTTTCCTCTTTGACTTACCCTTGGACCTTTGTTGAAAGGCAGATGGATGTGAGTCTATTTCTGTGTCTAACCCTCCACTGGTACCACACAGCCTTGCTCACTACAGCTCTAACAATTTTTTTCCTCATTGAGTTTACTGGTACATTTTAGGGATACAGTACAGTTACATTTATTGGGATCTTGTACCTTTACATGACAGGTCTTGGTTCTCATTTTTTTCCATTGTCCCTGCCCTCTCTTCACCCTCTCCTCCCCTCCCCACTTACAAACACTTCATTTTCATTTTCTCATATTTTTTTCTTTTCCCTTATTGCCTTTCCCCTACCCTTCCCACTTTCCCTACACCTTTAGCCCCTTTCTTCCTATTTGACTTGTCCATTATATCATTAGGATCATACGTACTATTATAGTTTATTCACACCAGAGAAACTATTCGGTATTTACACATGTGTGATTTATTTATTTTACTTGGGAGTATATCCGCCTCAATATGTATCCATTTTCCCATAAATGAATCTAATTTCTCATTCTTTATGGCTGAGTAGTATTCCATTTTATAGAAAAACCACATCTTCTTTATCCAGTTTCCAACTGATGGGCAAATGGGCTGTTTCCAAGTTTTAGCTATTACAAACTGTGCCTCTATAAACATAGGTGTGCATATATCTCTGTGATATGATTCTTTTAATTCTTTTGGAAAGATACCCAGCAGAGGGATGGCTGGGTCAAATGGAACCTCTAGTCCCAGCTCTTTGAGGTATCTCCATATTGATTTCCATAGTGGTTGTACCAGTCTGCACTCCCACCAACAATGGAGAAGGGTTCCTTTCTCCCCACAACCCCGCCAACATTTATTGTTGTTTGATTTCTTGATAGTAGCCATTCTTTGTGGGCTGAGGTGGAATCTCAGTGTTGTTTTCATCTGCGTCGCTCGAATGACCAGTGATGTGGAACATTTTTTCATATATTTACTTGCTGCTTTTACTTCTTTGTCTGAGAAATGTCTGTTTATTTCAGATGCCCATTTTTGAATTGGGTCTTTATATTTGGGGGGATGATTGTTTTGAGTTCTTTATATATTCTAGATAATAGTTCTTTGTCTGAGGAGCAGCTGGTAAAGATTTTTTCCCACATTATAGGTTGTCTCTTTGTTCTGTTGATGGTTTCTTTTGCAGTGCAGAATACAGCTCTAATAATCTTGAAGCTCATTAGATTGATCCCTCCTACTTTTTACTTCTCTTGCAAAATAGTTTTAGTTATTCTTATTCCTTTGCCTTTGTGTATAGATTTTAGAGCAATCTGGTTCCCTTCAAACCTCACTTATTGGTTCTAAGAGATTTTGTTGTTTCTGCTTTTGTCATTTTACTTTTGGTAAAAAAAAATGGGGTTCTCTGCAACTGTAATCATGTAGTCTGCAAATAGGGATGAGTCTTTTTCTTTTTTGGCCATATTGTATGAGCTAGAACTTAGAACACTGTCAGTGAAAGGGAATAGTTATCTTTATCTTTTTCCTAATCTAAATAGGAAAATATTCACATTTGTCTATTAAATTTAGAAAGTCTCCCTTTATTTTGATTTTTTAATAAGAGCTTTTGTTAAAAACTATAATGGATGGCAAGTATTAAGACATTTTTGTATGCAAATTGACATGATCATATGATTTTCTTTTTCAGGTTATAAATATGGTGAATTACATTGATTGATTTTGAAATATTGCATCCATAAAATGAAACTTGATCAGGTGTGTGAGTTCTTTTTTAATATATTGCTAAGTTCTAGGATTTTATGAATTTGACATTTTAGATTTCATGCATAAATAAAATCCGGGGGTATTCTATTGAGAACATTTAGTTAAGGAGTTTTGAGTCTATATTCATGACACAGTCTGCCCTTTAAAAAATATGTATCTACTTATGGCTTGGGTACTAGGATAACACTAACTTCTAAAAATAAATTGGGAAGTTTTCCCTGTTCTCTTATTTTCTGGAAGAAATTGTATAGATTTGTGTTGCTTTTTAAAATGTTAAAAATTTCAGGAAAACATGTGAAGGCTTGGAGGTTTCTCTTTTAGTAATTGTATGTTGCAAACTCAATTTTCTTAGTAGTTATAGACCTCTGCACAGTATTTACTTAATATTGAGTGATTTGTGGTAATTTATGTTTTTTTAAAGATGTGGTCCATTTTATTAAAGCTGTCACATTTCTGTGTGTAGAATTGTTCATAGCAATCTTTTATTTTCATGGCTACGGGGCCTGTGGGAAATCCCTTTTTTCTACTTGATATTGCTGATTTGTATCTTTTCTCTCTCTTTTTTTTTTGGTCAGTGTTATTAGAGGTGTATCAATTTGATCCATCTTTTCAGAGAAACAGCCCTTTGTTTTACTGGTTTTCTATACTGTTTTACTGCTTGAGTGATTTCAGTTTCATTGATTGGATGTTATACTTATTTCTTTTTTCCCTTTGCCCTGAGTTGCATGGGTTTATGTTATGGTTTGGATCTACAATGGCCCCCAAAGCCTCATATGTCTTGCAGGTGATTGGACCATGAGCCTTGATAGCTGACATGCTGTCTGGAGGTGGGGTGTGTGGTAAGAGCACTGACTGGAAAGGTTTCTCTCCCTACCCAACCTCTCGCTTTTCTCTCTGCTTCTTAGATGCCATGAGGGGGCCAGCTCTCCTCAGCCCAGACCTTTTCATCATGCTGTTCTTGCCTTGGAGCTGGCCCACTATGGATTGCAACCTCTACAAACTGTGAGCCTAATTAAACCCCTCCTCCTTCAAGTAGTGGAGTGCGGTAATTGGGTCTCAGAGATGAGAAAGTTTATTTTGCTTTTCATTTTCTATGTTCTTGACTTGTCCTGGATCCTAATGTATGCATTCAGTACTACTTTAACTGTATATCACATTTTAATACAATGGATTTTCTTTTTATTTAGTCCAGTATCTTTCAAGAATTTTATCGTGACATTTTCTCTTTGGCTTATGGGTTACTTAGAAATAGGTCAGTTAGTCTCTGGTTATTTGGAGGTTTTCCTGTTAACTTTCGATTATAGATTTCTACTTTGGTTCCATTATAATTGGAGAACACACCACATAATTTCAATTCTTTTCAGTTTCTTGAGGGTTGTTTCATGACCCAGGCCATGGTGTTCCCAGAACATAGACACTTGAAAAGAATGTATATTCTGCTGGTTTAGGATGGAATGTTCTATAAATATTGATTTGATCCTATTGGTTGCACTCTTCTATGTCCTTGAAAGTTTTCGTGTGGACATGGGTTTTTATATTTTTATATAATGGAATTACTGAGAACATTGTAACTATGTTTAACATTTTGAGGAACAGCCAAACTGTTTCTCCAACAACTGTGCCATTTCATAATACCATCAACTAATGTCTGAAAGTTACATGATATATTTTTAAACAACTCTGAAATGGAGATGTGGCACTTTGAAATTACAATATGTTATTTTTCCTTTCTCTAGTACACGAAAAATAAGTGGGGTATTTTGCAGTTTGCACCACCTTAGATGTGATGATATGTAGTTATTTTTGCTCATCAGATAAATACTATCAGTCTTGAAAATAATATAAAAAAGGTTATTAAAACTTGGCAAGTGGAAGTGCAAGACAGGTTAAGGGGAGAGTTTAGATCCTATCTCTAGTTGACAGAGTAAGAAAAAAGAACAGGTAAGGATTCACATGAGAAGAACATATACATAAACGTGGATTTGAGAGGGAGTGGCATAGGGAGCCAAATCATCATCTATCACAGCAAGAAATCGATGGAAAATGTAAAACTTGTGAATACACAAATTGAAACATGATCACATTACTTAGAAATATGGGATGAACTATAAGAAAAAAATAGAATGAGATAAGGACTGTCATTTTTGTTATTATGTGAAGGTTATAGCATTGGTGGTGTGCGGAGGACTAGCCAATTATGAGTTTTCCTGCTTTTGTTCAACTGGTGCATGATTTCAATAAAAATATTAAAATTACATACTAAAGTAACATTTAATATACACACTTTATTGAACTAAATTATTTTGTGTTTAATACTTCAGGAGGGATAGCAAATATAAGATATAGACTCTGAATAAGATGGTGGAAAAAGGGGGAAAGTAATGCCAAGTGTGTTAGTTGGCCTTCGATTACTGTATAATTACCAGGGATAATCAACTTAAAAAGAGGGAAGCTTGTTTGGGTTCATGGTGTCATGGCCTGAAACCCATGATCACTTAGACCCATTACTTTTGAGCCAGTGGCAACACTGTACATCATGATGGGAGTGCAGGGCAGAGGAAACCGCTTGCCTGACAGGATCCAGGAAGCCTAGAGTTATAGGATGAAACCACCATCCCACAGTCCCCTCTGAGCACTCCCATCAGGCCACACCTCTTAAAGGTCTCACCATCTCCCAGTGGTGCCATCGGCTGGGGAAAAGGGCTTCAACCACGTCAACCTTTTAGGGCGCTTTGAGATACAAACTATAGCACCGCTCAATGGGTTGGGCAACATCTTCCACTTCTCAAGTACAATTTATCAAACATGAGGATTTGTCTATAATTACTCATGCTGTTTCTCTAAACATTCAAAGATAGCATAATCTCAAGAACAAAAAAAGATGAAAATAATATTTTTAGTCTTATATTAGTGGCTTAAGATTTCAAGATGAAAAGAGGTAAATGTTAGGATTTTGATTCAGTCTCCCACACTATACAAATGAATGACTACACTGAGATATTGTATGTCTCTGTGACTTGGCTTTCTCATCTCAAAAATGGGAATAATATTCTGCTTAATCCACAGAACCAAACTGCATTATGAAAAGTATATAGACTCAAGACCGTAAGACTCCTTAAGAAGTTGAATACTGGCAATCATTTTTATAAGGCTTTATAAACATTAGCAAAGCAGGTGTCTGAGACTATAATACTATTCCAGCAGTAGTCAGTATTTGATGACATTTCAGTGATTCAATGTTCAATTTTATGTTTTCTTCAAGATGTAAAACATTAAAACTTTAAAATTCATAATTCTGCTTTGCAGGAATACTGATGTCAGAGGTGCCTCTGTTGCTTGTTAGTTGTACGGTGCCAAGCTAGGATCTTTTGCAACATTTCATGGACCAGAAAACATGCTGTGAGTATATATGTGTGATATTTTAACGTGGTAGATGTCCTGAGAGCTGCTGTGTATTAAGAATTGTAAGTCTTCTGTAAGAGGCCCGCAGGGAACGATGAAAAAGGTTCGCTACTTTCTTGACCCAGAAAACCCACAAAATCATGCAAATCAAGACTGAAATCTTCTCCCTCACTTAAAGAACAGCTGTGAAGCTGCCCAGGCCATCAAGAGTATAGGTATCTGAAAGGCCACCAAGTATCTGAAGGGTGTCACTCGAGAGAAGCAGTTTATTGTTACAGCGATGGAATTGGTCATTGTGCCCAGACCAAACAGTGGCCTTGGACACAGGCTCGGTGGCTCAAAAACGGAGCTGCACTTTCAGTGCACGTGCTCCAAAGTGCAGAGAGCAGTGCCGAGCTTAAGGGGTTAGATATAGATTCTTCGGTCATCGAACCAGTCCAGGTGAACAAAGCACCCAAGATAATCCTCCATATTTGAGCTGCCCCCGCCACGTTGAGATGACAATCCCTACTGGAAAGGAACAGGTCATTCCTAAACCAAGGGAGGAGGTTCCAGAGAAGGAAAAGCTATCCCAGTGTATGGTTCTTGGATAAGCCTTCTGTGGTCTTTATGTGCTGTCTGGGTGCTTATCTTGTGAGAGATTTAGAGCAGAGTTGCATTCCAGGCTGAATTAGTAAGAAGGATACATGTGCATTTTAGTATATTGATGTAGTGAGAGAATAATGTATACAAGTACATATATAGGTGCTTGAGTGTCTAGGTGTGAGGCTTTTTAGAACATAGCACCCCCATGCCTTTCTTGCTTAGAGATGGAGGCAGGAGAGAATTGGGCCTTGAGCTGAAGTGGGCCAGGCTGCTTTCTCAGCTTTCTTTGTTTGCTTTTCTTAGCTACACCTCCTAGCAGGTGTTTAACTCTTCCTTTGCCAGAAACTTCACTGAGGCCCTTTAACTTTCCCTGCCTTTCCCCCGATTTTTCCTACAGAAAGATTGGCAAAGTTGCTCAGAGTCATTGGACCAGAAAGAGAAGAGGCAGAACTCAAATTCTGCTTTGGAAATCTGAGTTCTTAATCGTGATGTCATACACTTCAGTTGTATATGGCAAGAACTAATAGATGACACAAAGTAAGAGATATTTATTGTCTGTCGGGCATTTTCATGGATCATTAATCTTTCCCACTTAATCTTTGCAGAAATCCTAAAAGACTGATATTGTTATCATTGTTTTCCTTTTGTTTTCACCAGTGAGAAAACAGATGAACACAGCGATGCCAAGGAGAGGAGGAAGATACAACAGGTGGGATCAGAATGGGTGGCCACACGGGCTATAGGTATGAGAAGGAAGGGCAGGAGAGACTCTGTTACCAGAAGGAAGCACAGAGATGGGGTGCAAAAGCTCCTCATCAATTGTCTGCTTTATTATGAAGTGTTCTGGCTCAAATGAACACATCGTGAACCACTTAATTGTAGTGAAACCTGGAGCTGCCTATGGGCCAATTGGTAGAAGTAAGATCGGTGTGGGTCACCTCTTTGTCATCACAGGGAAGCTGGAAGTGAAGCCAACACAGAAGACACCAGACAAGAGATGGAGGGTGAAGTGTTCCCATCGAAGTCATTTCAGCGCCCAGATCCAACAGTACCTGATGTCATCACTGGGCTTCCTGTCACGTCAGCCAGTACCATTCCCTGTTGGGCTTAAGCCCAATGGAGATGGATTCTCAGGAATCTTAGTTGCAAGGTTCCTGAAGACAGATATCCTTTGCCTTTATAGCAAAGATATCTGGCTTTTCTGTCCATAGCACCAAGATGTTACATGGAAGCAGGGGCTGACATGAAGATTTCCCTAAGATCACATAATTGACGGACACTGGCTCTGATCAAAAATTTGGAATAAAAATACCAATCTCCTCATCCCTAGTTAGGATAAAACACAAATAGGTTTTGCATGTACTTGTTCAATGCACTGACTTTAACACATTCAACTTCAGATCGTGTTCCCCAACCTATTAGTGGTACCTCTTTGGGGAATAAAATGAAGAAGGATGAGAACTTAAAAAAAAGAAAATTGGCATTTATTATATATACCTTGTGCAACACTGTGGGAGCACTTTGGCATAGACCTCTCTCATATTTCTCAAAACAAACCTTAGAAGCGATGAACCTCATTTCTGTGGTGTGCTTGAAATCCCAAGTCCAAGTTTTGCCATCTGGTTTTTATATGGTGCCCTTTGAACAGCTACACCATGGGTCCCTACACACAGTGACTCAGGGCCAGGGTATCTGGCCTCAAGGCATTTGTGCCTGTATGATTTGTAGCACAGAGTCACCGTCCTTGATATATAGCCCCTCACCTTCCCCTGTTATCTGTAATCTTGGACAAGTCACTTCCCCTCAGAACACCGTTTCTCATCTATAAATTTGGGAAAATACAATGTAATCTCCAGAAATGTTGTGAGAATTGTTAAATATATGCGTGGCATGTAGTAGGACTTCAATGGCAAGTCCAATGGACATGTTTCTCCAAGCAGCATCTTCTCAGATTGGTTAAAGTCTCTCTGCTTCTCAGAATATTTCTCTTGGATCTGAGACACTGAACTTTCCCAGGGCTCCCTCTTATTCCTCAGGCTCCCCTTTACCCCTGCACCCTCTTTTACTTACTTAGCTATTTCTCCGTTGGAGTTCATTACACAGGGCTCAGTTCTGAGCTTCCTTATTTTCTCTGAACATTGTCCAAGTTGTTCCTATTGAAACGTGTGCCTGCAAATAAAATTACCCTCCGGTATCTTTGCTTTATTATATTCACACCCCCCACAGCCTTCTTAAAGTGTCTTTTTCATTCTAAAACTTTCCTTATATTATCCATCTTCTGCTAAAATTTAAGGCCCATGAAGACAGAGAATCTAGCTGTCTTGTCACTACTATATCCACAGCACCTGAAACGCCAGTGAGCACTTGCTAAGAGCTCAATAAATATTTATGAGATGAATTCATTAGTTGGTTAATAGTGAGAATATACAATTCAGTTTTATGGCAGGGAAGCACCTGCAATCACTAACAATACCAATAATTTATGTCAAGCTTTCTGTGCCGAGTCAACCGTCAGTGACTATTTCTACACCTTCGTGAGACTGGGATGATCAGCTTTATCCATCAGAGTCCATAAGTTGACTCTCCTTTTGAGAAACTCAGGAATTATATTTAAGAATTACCCAAGGCAATTAATGTCTTGAACTGATGTCAAATGCAATAATGACTCACAGTTGATTCTAAGTGGAATTAAATTTATCACATACTTACTGAGCGTATACCGTGGCGATGTTTCTGTCCTAGGCTTCGCAGAGAGAGGTTCATAGAAAATTATACTTGGGACCGTGCTTATAATTTACTTTCTACTTATGTGGAGTAAGGATCCAGGCTGAGCTTAAGACAGATTCGGCCATGCCTCTTCATGTCCACTGAAATGATGTAAAGGTCAGCAGATGTCTTAATCATAGGAAGAAAGAAGGTTCCTCAGTAGAAAGAGCTGATTCAATAAAAATTTGGCTGACAAACTATTCTGCCTAAGATACCTTGAACTTTGCTACTGAAAGTCAGGTCTATGAGTCAGCAACATCTGCACCCCTGAGTGATAAGTTTCATTGTCTCCCCAGTCAATGTGGGCAGAATCCCCTGGTGATTTGCATCCATGTTAAAGTTTGAGGGGTACTTCTCATACATGGTCTCAAGCAATCCCCCAGCCAAAGTCTCACTGAGTCTCACTGAGTCTCACTTCCCTATGGACTACTGGGTATGCAAGGCGGTCAATGAAGCCCTGGGAAGCATGAGTGATGGACAACCACTGGCCTAGTGAGGACCCCTGAACTAGGCCCCTAAGCAGCAGTCCTGAGGGCCCCAGAAACATATGAGCACCCCAGGGCAGGGTCGAGGCCCTGTGTTGTAAAATAGGATGGCAGGCAGTGGCTCTGGTTTACTATGGTAGCTTATTATGGTTGGAGATGCCTGGGAAAACCCATGTGACTTATGTGAAGTGTGAAGACAGATGTTGGAGGTTCCACTGACTTGTTCAGTAATTAAGGAGCATCTCCTTGGGACCAAAAGAGGGAAGAAGAGAGCCTGGTGAGCGTCACACTGTCAAGATGTCCAGATGTCAAGAGAGCTGACAACCAGGCTCTGGCCACTTACTAGCTGGGCAGCTTTGGGTAGAGCATTTGACCTTTTTAGATTTCATTTTCTCCTGTGCCAAACGAGGCAGCAATGGTTGCTACTTTTTCGAACGGTTGTATCACTGAGTGAAAGATTGCACTGTCAATCACAAAGCACCGTGTCTGAACCACATAGTACAGAATCAATACACGTTAGCTGCAGAGACACCACAATTGCTCCCAGATCTCAATGCAGGTGTCCAGGCAGTGATTCTCAGTCCTGGATGCCTGCATAGCAACGCTGCACAGGGAGCTTTTAAAATGCAGATCCCAACCACATCCCAGGTCCACTAAATCATAATTTCTGGCAGTGGAAGTCAGGCATCAATACTTTTAAAGTTCCCCAGGTGGTTCTGAAATGCGGTCCTGGTGTGCTTTGTGCCACATAACTGAAAATGATTTGGGGGAAGTTTGCTCTTCCTCTAGGAGCTCATGGTCTTCTGGAGAAGCTTAACATGCAAACAGGATGCTCAGATGGAGAATGACAATTGTATGTTGCAATTATGCACAAGGAACTGAGGAAACAGCAGGGAAGACTGATTTTAAGGCGCCTCTGAACCTAAAAGGCTTCCAAAAATAAGGACAAAGGCAATCTTAGATCATTTTTCCCACTTTATATGTAAGAGAAAGTAATTGCCCATAACTCATATTCTGACAAAAAGTTGATTCTCAGAGCAAGAACATAAGTAGGTCACTGCCTGGCCTGGCACTATCTATGGTGGTTTAAAGAGGGCTGGGGGTCCATTAACCCCTCCAGGCCTTAGATTACTCCTTTGTGAATGAGGTGGGTAAGTATGGTGCTCTGTGCAGGCTGGCCAGAAGGTGAAACAAGAGCCGTCATGATCTATTTTAAAAAGGTGTTAATTGATTCAATTAAATCCAGAAACCCAGAGACATCCTGCAGTCCAGTAAGTTGTATGTGAAGAGACCAATTTTTTGTCAATCCGCATTGCTGTTGCTCTTGTACCCAAGAGTCCTCTGGTTCCTTTTGGTCAAAGAGCTTGAGAAGTCAATTCAGAGCTCACACCAAAATAAAGCTGCTTGATATAACCGGGTGGATTGTTGTTGTGGGTCAAAGCGTTTCCTCCCCTAAAGATATGCCTCAAGGCTAACCCTACTGTGAGAGAGACCTTATTTACAAACACCATCCCATCAGCAGGAGTAACTAAGTTGAGATTGTTAAGGACCTGACAGTGCCATCACAGGCTGCATTTTCCTGGTTCTTCTTGCCTCTTAAAATGACCTCATGCTCTTATCTTTAGTTTCCCCTGTCCCAAGGCCACAGTAGTCCGTCCGGTGGAGTCAAACCTAAGTTTCTGCAGGACTGAACCCATAAAAGGCAACCCAGCTCTTGATAGGTTAAAAGTAGCCCACTTCTCATAAATAAGCAATAGCCCAGCCCCAAAACAATAAAAGGACCTTCCTTTCTTTGTTCCTCTCTCTTCCCTCTCTCCTCTCTCCCTGACCTGCCTTCCCGAACAAAGTCTCCTGTCAGACCTCTTGGTGTGTGACCTAGTTGTTGAGTGTCACTGTGCCTCTACAGAGGTGATGCTGGATCAGGGTGAGGTCTTGATCTATGACCATTACCCTCATAAGCAGAGAGATAGAGGCACATGGGAAAGGACACCATGTACCTGCAGAGGGAGAGACACAGTGACACAGCTCCAAGCCAAGAGACACCAGGGCTGTTGTACCAGAAGCCAGGCAAACACAGGAAGGATGATCCCCAAGTGCCCTCAGAGGGAGCATGGCCTGCTGACACCAGTCCCAGACTCCTGCCCTCCACAACTATGCAACAACATATTGCTGTTGTTTTAAACCACACACTTTATGGTAATTTGTTGCTGCAGCCCTACAAAATTAGTGCATCCATTGGCTTATCCTGTTTCAAACAAAAGCAGGCAATTATACCTGGCCAGGAGACAGGACCAGAGCGCAGCTAACAGACAAATCCCCATCCATTAGGGACGAAATTCGCGTGACCCAATGCTCACTCGCCACAATCTCTGAGGTTGAAAGCTTCATAAGCACTTTCCCCAAGGTTCATTGCTTTTTATGTTTGCTCAAGGCAAACATGGAACTGGACTTCGGGTAGAATTTGTTGAAATCAGTTGGACTTTGAAAGAGCCTTAAGTGAAGTTTTGTAACTATGTTGGATCTGATCCCATGGGCATCACTACAAGGACCCTTCTCTACAAATAATCATTTTAGCTTCTTGAAAGTAGAACATACTTGTCTTGAAGCCAGAGTTGCCCTACACTGACCTTGTCCCCAGGTGCTGCTGAGTCCTGATCCCTTCTACCATTGCAGAGTACAGGCCATTGCTTTCTCCTCCCTGGACCTTCCCACTTTGGTGCCTATACATTTCTCTCATTCCTCCCCCACGGCATTTAGATCCTATGATTCTGTCTCTATCTGGTGCGCTGTATTTGCCACTAAGCAATATTTATGAAGTCTTTTCTCTGTGTCTGGAACTGATCTAGATGATGCCAAAGAAGAAAGGAGTAGGAGCCAGAATACACAAGGTTTTCTGGTCTCTTGGAGCTCTGGTGTAGCATTATCCCAAATCCCGTAACACAGAGATTTTCAGTAACAAAGAGGGGAAATTTAGACTGCTGTCAAGAGAGCTTTAACAAAGTAGGTAAGTGGAAAAGCACAG